ATAAATGTATGTATTGGTTCTGGGCTAGACCGAAAATTTTTCATATGATTTTTTATTTGGGATGCTGTTTTAGTTGGCAGGTAATGTCTTGCTATCAATGAGTTTCTGCCATTTGGTTTTTGATAGCTGCTGTGGGGAACATGCGAAAACTCGTAAACTCCTAAAGCAAGAAGGTGCTCTTCTGGGACAGTAAAGAAACGATAATAGGAAGGCGTGTCCTGCAGTCGAACCTGCAAACCAGTAAAAAAAATTTAATAATGAAGTTGAGCATCAGAACTTCTACATCTCAGAAAAAAATAAAATGTCGACTCAATTCTCTTTCGGCATCGAAATGAATATTTCTTAAATATGCGATTTGTACTGCTCTCTCCTCAAATTTTCATTATCAAAACGCTAAAAATTCTGAAACTTTTTTTTTTTTTTTTGTACTGATCTTGTGTTATTGTTTAAAATTTAGTAAGCGTTCATATTTTTTAAAATCTATAGTATCATGAAAAATAACTAACAGAAAAAAATATAGTATTTTTTTGCAAAATGTGATTTTTAACTTTTTTTTTCCATTATTTCATACTTGCAGATATATTCTAAGGAAGTCCCTCTTTTTTAACACTGCCATGATCAGCAAAAGCGTTTTACAGACTACTCAGAAACATAATTTAAAATTCAAAAAATCTGCAGCTTTTTCAGAATGACTGAAAACATGGTGAACAAGGTTCCCTAAAAAACCTGACACTTTTTAAGCTGAAAGAAGTAGCCTTTGGAAAACGACCCGCTGAAAAGTCTTGGCAACAAATGAGTAGAGTAACATTAGGCATTATAGCCAATTTAAGTCGGACAGAACAGAAAAGCCTTTCACGCCAAGCTGGAAGTAAATTTCTCAATGACTATTCTACTTTGATCAAACCATAAAACTATAGGAAACTATTTTATAAGTATCAGCGAACAAAATACGTCAACAAAAAGAGGGGTACTAAGGAATTTTAATCTAACACATCAAGAGGAACGTTTCCCAAGCACTACTCAGGTATTTAATTTAAACCATATCCTCCCTCCAAAAAAATATCTCTGGCAATTACTTGAAAAGACATACTTCTGGCATCAGTTCCGGAAAGATAACTGCGTTGCTTCTAGAGAGAACAACCATTGTTTGAGGACGTATAGAATAACCTTTAAAGTAAATTGTTAGGTAATGTTAACACTTCAATTTTCAAGGAAAAATTTTTTCAAACAAAAAAAATTGCCTCTCTCCATATCAAAATGTACTGTCTCCTCTTCGTTGAAAGAGCGTGCATCGTGGCAACTTATGACGCAAGCATCCAGATTCGGGATGCAAAACATTGACTGCTCGGAAGACTTCTCTCGTAAATCATATAAAGCATTCTGAAAAATATCTTGCATTCGTTTTCAGCCTTCATTTTCCAAATCCTGCTTACTGTTGAAAAAAAACAAGATTTATAACCAGCAGTCAAAAAAGACAATGCGCACAATCATTTCTTGGTAAGAATCTCGGGCGTTCCCAAGTTCTGGTTCAAACTGACAACCAACGACAAACTGAGTTAACAACTGCACATGCTAAAACTATCAAAATCAACAGGCAAAAGAATTTTAGATCTAAAAACTAAAACAAATTTCTGAATAGGTTTTGTAAAGCAATCTTAGGAGTCGATTCTAGTTCGCAAAAAAATGGTTTAAATCAAAAACGACGCGATTTATCGACTTGCCAACAAACGAATGCTTTGAGATATTTGCTTACTTTCATCAACTGCGAACGAAGCTGCGCACGCTCAAATTCTGTAAAACTGGGAGGGTTTTGTTTTGAAGTCCCAATAAGGCAAGCAGAAACAGCAATTTTTTCTACAACTTCAGGAGTGGTATCAATTAAAGCAATTATGTGGTCGTCAAATTTTGGAAAATTCAATTTTTCGCATTTTGGGACATGATCAGCACTTAAAACCACTTCAAGTTCGGATGTTTTCGTCTGAAAATGGAAAAACCATTAAAAGTATCGTAACGCTAAAATAGAAGAAATAAAACGCACAAATATTTAAATTAAAGAACTGCCATGAAAATTAATTAGTTAGAACCTCTGTATTGCTGGTTGGTATTTCTAAACCGTAAGAAGTCAACGAAGTATTAACATGTGACCCAAGCAGATCCTCAAAAAGATCTTCAACTTCCCGCACTGAAAATATAAAAGGAATCCAACACCATACCCCAGTACAAGTCAAATGAGTATCAGGCAGTAACAAAGAAAATTGCAGTAACTACTGAAACGTTTCTGTGAGCAACAAAAACGAAAAAAAAAAAAATGAAAGATACTGCAATACTCTTGCCTTTTAGCAACCGCTGAACCAACACCTTCTGGGAAATAATAGAAACCGCAAAATTGGATCAAAAAGTGCCTACTTGGGATTTTTGTGTCACGATCCATCCTTAGTTCATCTTTTTCAACTTCACAGTCAAGCTCATCTGCCATCAACTCATATTCCGGATCATCTTTTTCTAAAAATAAATAAAGTAACAGAAGAACCACCTTTAAATATCATGCCTCTCAATCCAAGCGTCACGAACAAAGAGTAAAGTAGCAAAACTGTGTATCACAGCTTAATGACAATTGTTCCATTTATAGAAAAAGTAACCTCACCATCAAAATCAAGTCTGAGCTCCGGGTCTTTTAGTGTACTTATAAATGTCATATAATCCGGATCATCCACAGCGGAATAAAGAAGAACGTCGTTTTCACTGACTATGGCATCGTCTTCTAAACATTCAATTTCTACATTCCGTGTCCGAGATCTTGTACGTATATTTAACTGATCATCCTTTTCCATAAGGTTATCTCTCTGAGTCTCTGTTTCTTCACATTCTTCCCTAATATTCAATAGTTCCTCCTCAGTACTGTCTGCAATATCTGCTTCGTCGTACATATCTTCAGTTTCATCCTCTTCTTCCTCTTTATTACTTTCTACTGCCTTAACAAAAATAATGAGGACATTAACACATCAGCAGATTACACAACGACTACCTTCAATGAAAACATTAAAGTAAAACGAAGAAAAGAAAACAGAAGATTTTAAAAACTGGTAATACTTTTTCCCTTAAAAAATACAAAAGCTTAGACTAGAAAAACTTCTCCTACGAAATCAAACTACAGACTACTAACTTCTGGATATAGTAAAAGAGGTACGGTAAAAAAGCGTGCTCAAGTAAGTATTGGAAATCAGATGTCATTTCAAAAACTGCTAAATACTTGACTGGGAAAAAAACTGGAGAATATTTAATAAAAAAATGAAGTCAGGACAAAAGTAAGTTCTTTGTTTAAATTTTACAAAAAAACATATAAATGCTGGGGCTGCGTTCAAAAAAATCGCGGAGTCTTTCTTTGGGGTTCTAATAACTTATTCTCACTTCCTCAACCGCTACTCATACTGTAATTTTACGAAGCACTCAGCAATACAACTCCTTTAGAACCCTCTAATTACAAAGGATAAAAACCAGAGCCGTAATTACAAAAAAACACTAAAATGTACAAAGCTCAAAAATCCACATGCATTTCATAATTCCAATTTCTTCGCACATTTTATCACTTTTTCTTCGAGCCAGATAACACCCCCTAGATAAATTAAAACAATTAATAAACGACAAAAAAGCATAAACCAGCACTGCATAACTTTCAGTAGCTTTTCAAACAAACCTGCTCCGGCCTGTAGTCGTCATCCTCATCTTCCTCGTCTTGACCGTAATCAATGTTCAAAAATGTCCGTTCAGTCCGAGGGACAGCAACAGTATCATTCTCAATCAGCAATGGTGAAACCTATAGTTAAAAGATATAGACTAATACCACGACAAAAACAAAGTCTTCGGGCTCTCAGTTTTCGATGAAATAATTTAACCTCATTTGTGCATTGTAGCTGCTTCAGTTTTGAACGCGTGAGTTTCAAATTAGGTGTATCGGGTTCTTCATCTAGATCCATAACTTTGGAAATCATATCAGGATTTTTAATCAAATGCTGTAAAGAAAACCATTGCAAAAAAAAACGAACTTTTGAAATAAGCAAACACTGAGGATAGCTGCATAAATAAAGCACTACCAATCCGTTGCTCCAAAAAAAAAAAAGCAAAAAATGGAATGCTTAGAGGATTAAAAAAAATAAATAAAAGTACATGAAGTAAAGACTTGACGCTTATAGCTGTCCTGTTACGAGCTTTTGCACGGTCCTCTAATTTACCGTCCACCTGACGCCACAATTTGACAATTTCTTCTTCATCTTTTACTTCAGTTTCATTTCTCTCCACACTTGACGTATTTCCAAAAGCATCTTCTTTTTCCTGTACCTTGGTTACTGCGTCAGTGTCTGATCCTTCCATAGCCTACGCTAAAAACCCACGTGAACCAAGCTAATGCAATGACTGCACTGTAAGGAATCGAAAAAATCGTAACTTAACAAAATTAAAAAAACCCAAAAATGTTATGCAAATCATATAAATAATCAGCGTTGCTGGATTAGTCCAACCCTATACTGATTGATGCTGTTTAAATGTACTGGACCCAATTACATTTCCAAACATTTGAATATTGCAGCATAAAAAATCTCGGATGTTAAACTGCAACAGCATTTATGCCCGGTGGCCCACTCTGTGCCATGCCTAGTATTTATGGTGTTGTAGACTCCAAAGAAAGACTTTGAAGGTACAGAGGTCAAATCTACCGATTTTTTAGCTAAGTTTCCAGACCTTTTAAACTTTGCCAAATAATAGAGCTCGTGCCCTAATGTGCAAAACCGAAAATACTACCCCGTTAACGTCTTTCAGTAGAAATTTATAACCTTTCAATTCTGAAAAAACCACTTTTTTTTTGTTAAATATGACCTTCTTTGGAAAACTGTGACTAGCTCTACAAAATCAAATAACTTTTTAAGCTGCTCCTACCTTTATATTTTCCACTTCCCAACACTTATTAAAAGCCTAAATTATCCTCATCAGCTGTACAGATATTAGGCTAAAAAATGGTAGAACTTAGACCTTTTCAAAGGAACAAAGCACTTTGAATTTTCCTTCTCAAAGCATTTACAAGATAAGGCGGTAGTAGGCTTGTAAGTTATGGAAAAAAGAATGAAGCGATGAAGCACCAAAAATCGCAATGAAACGTCCTGTATAGTTCGTTCCATATACAAATTAGCGGCTTAACACCCCAAATATCTCCACGACCAATTTTTCTGAAGTGATCCATCAACGTCAAAAAAATAGAGGTCACTTGTTTGAGCAAAGTTTCTGTTACTTCACTTCATAATTTACTTGCTCACCGTTGACTCATCTTGAAACTTACTACACTTAGTAAACATTTCACACAAAACACATCTAATCAAAAAATTGGACGATTAATACTTCTTCAGCTAACTTGAAACAAATTTTCCGGATTACGTTTGCAATTCAGAAATAAAAACTTGAACTGAGTAATAAGAAGACATACTCTATAAACTGACTCCACAAGCATTCAATTTTATGAAGGATTGCAGCAAGTATTAATTATTCAAATCATGCCATGTTTCGCCAAAATATGATTTTTTGATACTTTGGGAGAACAAATACTGGATTCAGTTAAGGAGCTTGTATTATTTATCTGCATGAAAATACAAGATACACCTTTTACCACGTAGGCAGAAAGACGAATAAGCAATTAAGGTGTTAACTAGAACTAACAGTGAAATTTTGTTAAGTGCCACTGAGCAGTGAAACTAACCTAACCACCTTTAAAACACATTCAGCCTACATGGCTTCAATAATGACCCCACGTTGTGGTCGAAAAACTCCTTGGGGTTTGCATGTTCAAGCTTAAACCCTGCCAACGAGTAAGGACTGAAGAAAAAAATTTGAGACATTAACCAAAAGAAAAAAAAAGAATAACCCATATTTAAATCAGTACCAATAAGGGGAAGATTTCTCAGGTGTTGTATATAAATATAAAAATAAATATAAGCGTAAATATAAAATATAA